GAATTTCGATTTTCCAAATTGAAATTTAGGTTTTTTTCAAATTGCGATTAAGAATAAAAGCTTTGCTCAAACTATTGGTTTTCATGTTCACTTTATGTGGAAAAACTGATATTTGTTACAACAAAATTTTAGGAGGGTATTCCAGAGGTGTTTTTAATTCTATTCTACAAATCAGCTTTACTTTGACCCTTTTTAAGGTTATGCTTTTGGTGTGGCTAATCACAATGCAAGCATGCCAATTCTTGACCTGCTTTCAGTGTTGGTTTCGACTTACACATCTACCAAATTACCACTTGCAGAATGGTTGATGAATCGCTTTTGATGTCAAAAAGACAACATCCTGGCTTTGTGATATACGTAACATTTAGCAACATAAAAACGATCAGCGTCAAATCATTCTGTTAGTAAGGTCGAAATTCATCGAACGATAGATGATATTAGTGGGTGTCACTACCTAGGAACAGATTATGGAAACGTGTGGCCTCTGTTTTCTTTTGAAATGTTTGATTATTTCAAAAAAAGAAAAGAAAAAAAGTAGAATTCTAACACGTTTGATTTGGATGTAAGAAGAACATATAAATTCATATTTTAGCTAATTATCATTGTTCAGTTTGGTTTGAATATCGCTGAAGAAAAATTTGACGAATTTTATAAAGCCAACTTCTACTTTTTGCAATCTGAAAACTCAATGGCTTTTTAAAAAGGGTCAATGGTCATTTGAAAGTTTAAGGACAATACACTAAAGACGGTAAGGAATAGTAGTTTCCGGAATAGTAGTTTGAAATTTATTTAATCACTCTTTAGAGTCGAAATTCATTCAACTTTTCTCTCTTTTGAATCTTGACCTGGTTGCGCGTCTCTTCTTAACTATTGCATTTCATATTTCAGGATATTCTCTTTCAATGTTTTAGAGCATATTTATAGAACATCTTTCTCACCGTAATTAATTCTTAGTCATAATATCGACGAAGCCGAAAAAATGTTATGAATTGTTTTAATTCAAATTCAGAATACTTCTCAGATAAATGCTTTGTTATGCAAAATCAATAAAATAAATATTTCGATGCATGAAGTGATGATTCATTTATCCAAATCCAACTCTTTCAATTTCTTAACTAGTCTTAATTGCAATGTTTAGATGTCGCAGATAAAGCTCTCTCTCTCCCTCTCTCTCTCTCTCTCTC